TTGTTCTTGAAATCTTTCCCATACATTAAGAAACAAAAATTAAATAAACGCTGAAGTTAGTGGCTTTGTTCCTCATGTTTAATAGACTTTACATCATTTGATGAAATTTAGTTCATTAAATTGTACGAAATTTTTACTAAGCAATGGTTACATAGAACAGTTTCAGATTCCAATTTTAATCGAAATTTGAATTCTGTAATCATAATTTCTTGTATATGTATTTTGCGTAAATATCTGCAGCTACTTTAAATTTCTTTGCCGTGGGCATTATTTGCTTTTGTGAAATTTATGATAAAAACTCAAACATCCTCACGACGTCAATTTTTTGCTTTCAGGAAAACACACAGTTTATGTATTTGTGCATAAGCGCTGTAAAGTCAAAATTCACATTCCTAGTTACAATAATACATTATTTATTTTTATTAAACGCAAGAGAAAATCTATTCCCAGCTTCCATCATATACTGATTTTGAATTTACGTCAAAGTTATATACAAATTACGATCTTTGTCCAAAATCGATTTCTATTCAAAATATTTTATTTTCTACATTGAATAGCGTTATTTTGCACACATTTCAAAGGTTCGTTATATTTTTTAATCAATCGATCTGGAGTTGTCCATAGTGGCACGAAACTTGTACTAAAATCGATTGAATGGTTGGCAGTTTGCTGGGGACATAGACTTAAATGTTTCTCAGTAGCGGTTATTATAATTTTTTTATTTCTTAATTATTTCCCTTCTGAAATCATTCAGAAAAGTTGCCTTCTCAGTAGCGGTTATTATAATTTTTTATTTCTTAATTCTTTCCCTTCTGACATCATTCAGAAACGTTGCCATATATATATATATATATGAATTAAAACTTGTATATAATGCACAGCGGTGTTCCGTCTCATATGTGGCTTCGGTATTAATTCAGCAAGAGAAATGCAGTTTGTACTCTATTACTGAATTCCATAGTTATTCATTGTATTTGGCTATCGTATGTGAGATACCTCCTATATAGTGTGAAGAGGGTTGAAGGGTCGTAGTGTAAGCATCGACGAGGAAGATTGTAATCTTTAAATATGATTAAAATGATCTCAATTCTGTCATGATAAAACGAGAAGATTTCCTATTCTGGTTATACCAGGAAAAGTGGCATAACTGAACACAAAACTGAATTCAATCTTTATGCGAAAGTGTAATACATTCCTCGTCCAGTTTCTCAGAACCACATACTGCGTAGTGTATGACGCTCCTTCCCCCTCTCTTAACTTCCTTTTCCTTTCTTAATTTCTTTCTTTTCTTACATTTTTTTTCTTCCTATATGACCTCTGAAACGTTGGTTAACATCGACCAGACTACACAGCGCAAGAACCCAGAAGACAGAAATCTTCATACTCATCGCGCTGATGACGGAGGCAGTATGACCTCTGAAACGTTGGTTAACATCGACCAGACTACACAGCGCAAGAACCCAGAAGACAGAAATCTTCATACTCATCGCGCTGATGACGGAGGCAGTATGACCTCTGAAACGTTGGTTAACATCGACCAGACTACACAGCGCAAGAACCCAGAAGACAGAAATCTTCATACTCATCGCGCTGATGACGGAGGCAGTATGACCTCTGAAACGTTGGTTAACATCGACCAGACTACACAGCGCAAGAACCCAGAAGACAGAAATCTTCATACTCATCGCGCTGATGACGGAGGCAGTATGACCTCTGAAACGTTGGTTAACATCGACCAGACTACACAGCGCAAGAACCCAGAAGACAGAAATCTTCATACTCATCGCGCTGATGACGGAGGCAGTATGACCTCTGAAACGTTGGTTAACATCGACCAGACTACACAGCGCAAGAACCCAGAAGACAGAAATCTTCATACTCATCGCGCTGATGACGGAGGCAGTATGACCTCTGAAACGTTGGTTAACATCGACCAGACTACACAGCGCAAGAACCCAGAAGACAGAAATCTTTATATTATTTTCGTTTCATTTACCTTCTTTATAGGTCTGTATAGTCTGTATATTTTTCATTGTTTTAATCTTTATCGCGTTTTGTTTCTTTATCTGTTGCGTTGTTTCCGTTTATCTTTAATTCCAATTTATTTTTCACAGTAGTACTGTCGTTCGTTGCTTCACATCCTAGCAGTTGAAAAAGCGTAGTGAAAATACACAACAGTGTTTCCGTGTGCCTTTCTCTTAATTCTTTTAGTGGATGGTTGTACGCCAGCCTTGTAAGACACGTGTAGTATGATTTAATCACACCGTCGAACGACATTATAAGATAATGACATATTTTCTTCCACCCCTTTTAGATGTAACTTGGATGGTGAGGCTGGAACTCAGTCCTTCGTGTGAGAAACGAACTTGATGCCTTGTAATGGCTGCTTCTACAACTAACTCTTTTACCAATTTCCCTATCTGACTTCATAAATTTACTTCAACGAACAGCCAGTAATTTTCCGATAAACGTACTTTTGAATTCAAAAGCCCTAAATTACTACTACTTCTTTCAACTTGAAGGTTCTTTACCTAGGATCTCAGTAAAGGCCGCTTATTAATTTTATTCTTTGTCATCTCAATGCGTATTATTCTGCAAATGTTATATTTTGAGTTACAACACCGATGATTTGTTTAAAAAAAACTCTCTGCTTAGCGTCACTTTTCGAATGTGATATGTTGAAGGCAGAATGTATTGAGCAAAATAAGTACTTTACGTTGAGCATTCATTTGTATCGAAA